ACATGTAATAAACTTGACTTTTATACAGCATTTTTTAACACGATTATAATATTTTTGACATATTCATAAAAATACATGAAAGACTCAAAATCCCATACAAACTAACTTATCCACCTTAGTTGGATTATAAATAGGTATTTTTATTAGTTCATGAATAAGAATATATATATATATATATATATATATATATATATATATATATATATATATATATATATATAGACTTTTATATCCATTATAATAATTTTTAATAGGATTATAGTGTTTTTTTTATGCATTCATAAAAATCTTACAAGTCTATACAAAAATATTATAGCCAAAGAAGGTTTATCAACTTTGATTGGTTTCAAATAAGTATTTTTATCGATCATGAATAAGAACATGTAAAAAACTTGACTTCTACATTGTTTTTGAATAGGATTATAATACTTTTTACACCTCTAAAAAATCATGTAAACTAATACAAATATACTATAAACTGAGAAAGAAAGTCTCAAAATAATAATAAAAAAAACAGACTATTTTTGGTGTCTCACATGCTTGTTGGTCTGAGATACTTACCATGTACTCGTGTGCATTAGCATGAACATTGTTGTGTCTCTTGGTACGCTCAACGGGCAAGGCAAAGTGGTCGCGCATCACCATCTTCCAAAGCGCCACCGCCGAGATCTTCGTCCGATGCAAATAGTTGCGGTCTTGCACTTGTGGCTTCTCCTGTTTGGAACTTCAACTGCGCCACCTCATGACGGTGGTAGATTGCGCTCACCTCCGCCCCCGTCGAGCCATCGTCGCCATCCGCAGTGGTGATGTTGGGCATCCTTGACGCCAACGACGACCGAGGAGGACAATAAACTGATGCTCGGGTCTTGATCGAGGTTGCTCCGACACACACAAGATCTCCCGTTGTGGAGCAACCCCAACACGCTCGAGATAAGATGCAAGGGGTTGTTCCTTATCGAGTAGAAGGACGAGGCTCAAAGTCCCTGGCCTCGACGGTCGGAGCACGACAGCCAAGAGCAACGTTTGGGTCGCTCAAGTATGAAGAGGAGGGTTCGGAGAGAGGGACGTCGATTGGGACGACGACGAAGGATACTAAACAAGAATCGGTCAAAACTCCTTCGACTGCCAAGAAATTGGTAGGTAGATATTTTAATTGAATAATATGTCTGATTACAATATGTTTTAATTGAGTTATAATTTTTTTAATCGATATAATAAAAACTCAATTGAAAAATACTGCAACTAATTTTAATTAAATTATAATATTTTTTTTATTAATATAACAGAAATATTATAATTCAACATATGATTATCTTCTATTCGTTGCGAGATCCATAGAAAAGTAGATGAGAGCAACGGGGTGAAGATAACGGATAGCAAAGATGATCATATGATCGATGTGATGAAAGGTAGAGATAATTTTTTGAAAAAAGAATAAAAAAAATAAAATCTTGAGTTTTTTTTTAATAAAAAAATTTATCCAAAATAATATTAGAAATGGCCCTAATGAGTGAGTGAGTCCAACCCAGGCGATGAGCAGTGAGCCCGGTATCACATAAACCCTGGCGAAACCCTTTACTTTTATCATCGAGGCTCGTCACCCGCACCCCCTAACTCGTGGTGCCTTTCTTGGAGAAGCCATTTGTGCTTTCCTAACCCTCACCGCCGCCTCTCTCCCCCCTTCCATTCCCTTCCCAATCTCCAAGCTGCCATGGCCTTCACCGCCCCCAAGCAGCTCCTCCGGCCCCAGATCCACTCCTCTGCTGCACCACGGAGGGGCAAGCATCCCTCCTCCGACAGATCCATGGCCCCTAAACCTTCCATTTTTGGTGCCTGCAAGAAATCCCTTTCAGCCTTCTCCGCCTCCGCGGTCTCCTTTGCCGCCGCGGCTGGTGGCGGGTTCATCTTGCTTGCTTCGTCCTCCCCTCCCCCCATTGACGGCGGCGGTGGCGGAGGTTGGTACCGGGGAGGCGGCGGCGATGGGGGTGGTTTCTGGTCTAACCTGTTCTCCCCGTTGGTGGCGCTTGCGAAGGAGGAGGGCGGCCCCGGCCGGGAGTGGGACCCCCATGGCTTACCGGCTAACATCGTCGTCCAGCTCAACAAGCTGAGCGGCCTCAAGCGGTATAAGATCTCCGACATCCTGCTCTTTGACCGCCGGCGCTCGACCACCGTCGCCGGCACGGAGGACTCCTTCTTCGAGATGGTGTCGCTGCGCAACGGTGGCGTCTACACCAAGGCCCAGCTCCAGTCAGAGTTGGAAAACCTGGCCGCTTCCGGCATGTTTGAGAAGGTCGACCTCCAAGGCAAGACCAAGCCCGATGGCACCTTGGCCCTCACAGTGTCGTTCGCCGAGAGCACGTGGCAGTCTGCGGACGCATTTCGTTGCATCAACGTCGGACTGATGCCGCAGACGAAGCAGATGGAGATGGACCCGGACATGACGGAGAGGGAGAAGTTAGAGTACTTCCGAAGCCAGGAGAGGGAATACAGGAGGAGGATCGAGCGCTCAAGGTCATGCTTGTTGCCTGTGACAGTCCGGCGGGAGGTGATGCAGATGCTCCGCGAGAGGGGGAAAGTGAGTGCTAGGTTGCTGCAGAGGATTCGGGACCGGGTGCAGAAGTGGTACCAGGATGAGGGGTATGCTTGCGCCCAGGTTGTCAATTTTGGGAATCTGAACACAAAGGAGGTGGTGTGTGAGGTCGTGGAGGGTGATATTACTCAGCTTGACATCCAGTTCCTGGATAAGCTTGGAAATCTATGTGAAGGGAATACTCATTTGGCTGTCATTCGCCGGGAGCTGCCCAGACAGGTATAGTTGTCACATTATTGCCCTCATTTGTTGATAACTACTCAAATGCTCTATGATAGAGTGTATCACAGAATGTAAAACTTTAGTGGTAAATGAGAAAACCATAGTGCTGTCTGAATTGTTTGATGCTGGAGACTGACTTGCTAGGAATGTTAGAATACAACTCTAAATTGAAACAATAATAAGTTATCCGATGTTTTTCCTTTAGGGAGATTGTTCACATGTCTGATTATTCTAGTTATTCTTTGTTAGTCACTGCATTTTGATGATATAAAGAAGTGGTCAGGATACAGAAAAAGTGTAGACTTAGAGTGACTTATCATTTGACTAAAATTTAAATGGTTTCTTTGTCTTCCATGAGGTTTAACTATCATTTTGCTATGTACGAGGCTAATTTGTAGAAATTTGGGATTTGCTCTAATGAAAATACCTTATTGCACTAAGTTTGTGATAAAACTCTTCAGAGTTGTAACCTATGTCATAGGCCGGAATCTATGTTAGGGTTTCTTTCACCTCCAACTTTAAACTAGTAAGTGCACACACATAGTGTATATTTCAACAAAAAACTACTGAAGCTACATCAATATTTGACAATATTTAAAACATAAATAAGATCTCATTTATTAGGAAAGGCTGACAGGTTGCATGTCTAAAATGACAATGTACATTTCAGCATGATACTCAAGAGCATCAACTTTGTTACATTTTAATTATAATACAGGCTAAACATATAAGCAATAATGAGTATAAAGGAATGCCTACCGGATATCTTTCTCCAGCAAGCTAATGTTATGGAAAAAGAGATCTGCACTGAACTTCCAATCTCCAACCGCAATCATGGCAAACTAAACTTCACTAGTTTTATAAATCCAATTGTACTAGTGAAGGAAAGAAACATCAAAAATTAAACCTCAAACGAATAATCACTGATCTGATACAAGATGAGTTAGCCGATTATGAATGGTTAGCTGGTTATGAAAAAAACCAACATTTCCAATGAATATATGAAAAAAATTTGCCAAAAGTAATGGTCAGCATCATGTTGTATATTTTATTAATTCAAGAAAGTGGATCTTAGAAATTGGCAATGGGATAAGATACCCGTACTGGGTGGAAAACTACCATTCATGTTGGCAGTTTGGATAGCAATTTCTTGCTAGTTGCTTCTTCTTATTCTTTGCTAAGGCAAAAATGGAAGTGATTCACTCATAAGGATTCAACACAAGTCTCTCTCTCTCTCTCTCTCTCTCTCTCTCTCTATCTCTCTCTCTCTTTCTCTTCTTTATATTCTCATCTTCATTTCTTTCTTTTTATATCTTCTTTAATAAGAACACATCTGCAATTTTTTAGATCAACTGCTAGCAATTTTGGCTATTTTTTCTGTTGAAACTGTCAAGTTTTAATATTTCGATGGCCATTTACCATGTTGGTTTTAATATTTTTTTGCCTGTAGCATCTGTATCACTTTTTAAGGATGACTTTCCGACAACCAGCTTGGTTATTGTGTTATTAAGATAAATATTCCAAGAGCAACGTGGGACATATATGCAAAGGTTTGCTATTGTGAACAGTCATCATTCTGAACCTGGAGTTTGTTTTGTACATATTAAATATCCATTGAGGTCCTGGAGAGGGTTTTCTTGATGAGATTATACATAAATTAGGCTGACAGATTAATATAATTGTCAAACATGTATGTCATAAATCACATTTCTGCTTGTTCTGCACATTGTATTCCACCAATTCCAGGTTCTCTGACATATCATCAAATCTTAAGAGGATTTGACTTTGCTATTCTTATTTCTTACCCATTGTATTATTTTTGGAATATTGTTTTTGTACTATTATAAATATATTATAATATGTTTGATCTTGTGCAGCTTCGACCAGGGCATGTCTTTAACATAGAAGCAGGAAAGCAAGCTTTGAGGAACATAAACTCGCTTGCTTTATTCTCCAATATAGAGGTGAACCCACGACCAGATGAAAAGAATGAAGGAGGCATAATAGTTGAAATCAAACTCAGAGAAATGGATCAAAAGACAGCTGAAGTAAGCACCGAATGGAGTATCGTACCTGGACGTGATGGACGACCAACACTGGTAATTCTGTCCATGCTGACATGACTTTCAGTTTGTAAGAATGGGCTGGTATTCAGATGTAAACTGTCTTATGCTTCTTCAAAGAGATCGATTCCTCACATTGTGTGCATTATTGTTGTTAGGCTTCAGTTCAACCTGGTGGAACTGTTTCATTTGAACATCGCAACATAAATGGTTTGAACAGATCAATTGTTGGTTCGGTTACATCGAGCAATCTTCTCAATCCTCAGGTGTGTAAATCTTGATTTCCTTGTTGTAGAATTACAAATTGTTGGATTTGATTAAATTTGTTTTGTTAAAGTGCTGAAATTGATCAAAAAACTTGAGGTTGCACTGAGATCACTGTAAACATCCTCATGCATGTAGGGGTAAAACTGAACATTGGCAATAGTGGGAGCTTGTTCATGGTTGCCCTAAAGGGTTCACCGATGGCAATAATATTTATATTGTAGTCAAGAGTCAGGATTTTCAATTTTCTGGTGGAGTTATTCTTATTTTCAGGAGTAAGGACTTTCAATTTCCTCTGTGGATTATAATGATTTAAAAGTTATTTAGCCCATGTCAGAAATTTTTGTCTGTTGGTGTGTCCAGTGGTTGTTTGCTTTCTTCTGACATCGAACTGGTTTGAAAAAAGCAATTCTTCCATTCATTTTTCCTTAATCTCAATTTAGTTATTGTTGGAAATGTGAGTAGAGAATTAGGAGATAAACACAAACCTTCATATGCTCGTGCGATATTTGTGAGCTTTCAGTGATTTATTGTGTTAGTTTGACTTATTATGTAATTTTCTCACTCTTGTTCAGGATGATTTGTCTTTCAAGCTTGAATATGTGCACCCTTATCTAGATGGTGTGACCAACCCTCGCAACCGAACCTTCCGCACCAGCTGCTTTAACAGCCGGAAGTTAAGTCCTGTCTTCACTGGTGGTCCAGGTGTAGATGAAGTTCCACCTGTATGGATTGATAGAGTGGGCTTTAAAGCCAATATAACCGAGGTATCATTGTTGACATAGCCATTCATTTTATTTCCATGATCCATTTCTTCACTGCTGTAGTACTCACTGTTAACATTTCAGAGCTTCACCCGACAAAGCAAATTTACTTATGGGCTTGTGATGGAAGAGATCACAACCCGTGATGAAACTACTAGCATTTGTACCCATGGTGCTCGAGTGTTACCTAGTGGTGGTTTAAGCATGGATGGGCCTCCAACAACCCTCAGCGGTACTGGCATTGATCGCATGGCATTTGCACAGGCGAATATTACACGTGACAACACAAAGTTTCTGAATGGAGCAACCGTTGGTGAGAGAGATGTCTTCCAGGTATCTAGTCTTGCTGTCAACTAAAGGTTTTTTGCATGCATCTGTAATCAAAGGTGTCGATATGATGGTAGATTTACATTTTTAACATTATTGTAGACATAAAAAGTAATCCATTGGTGGCTTGTTGATAATTTCTTATTTAGAGTTGAATATTTGGACCATTTAGCATATATGGTATATGGCTACGTAATTCATAAAGATTCATTTCCCTCAACCTCACCATCTCCTCCAGATTTTTTTTAAAGTAATTTGTTCGTAACTGATTGGATGGTAGTGCGCTTGTAAGTCACAGCTAATCCAGGTTATCCTAGACATTTTATACATGGACAACTAATTGATGCATGTCTGATTATGTAGTTCTCATTTGCCCTGTATGTTTTTGAGCTATGGATATGTATTAGTTCATGTACTTGAGTATGCACAACTCCAAGGAATATGGAGACATCATAGTTTTCATTTTCTTGAGTCAAAAACTTTTCTATTGACCATTCATTCTTTTCCCTTTTGCCATTGGTCGGTGATATTTGACATCTCCATTCGTATAAAATTTCTGAGTGACATGGAGTAGAACATCTAGACATGATGACATGCTCATCTAATGATCATATTGAATTTTGATGGTAGCTGGACCAAGGTCTTGGAATCGGCAGCAACTTTCCATTCTTCAACCGCCACCAGCTCACATTAACCCGGTTCATTCCATTGAAGAACGTTGAAGAAGGCATAGGTAAATCGCCACCACCTGTTCTGGTTCTTCATGGACACTATGGTGGTTGTGTTGGAGACCTCCCAAGCTATGATGCTTTCACTCTTGGAGGTCCCTACTCGGTGAGAGGCTACAACATGGGAGAATTGGGTGCCTGCAGGAACATTATCGAGGTGAGCAGGACACACTGGCTTGTTGTTTATCCATAGTTCCATTTTTCTTGGGTGTTATATTCTGAAGAAACTGATCTTTGTTTGATTATGCTATCCAATATAATTCAAAATCATGACTTTTGTTATACTGTAGCTTGCCACTGAGCTGCGAATCCCCGTGAAGAACACCCATGTATATTTGTTTGCGGAGCATGGAAATGACCTTGGCAGTTCGAAGGATGTAAAGGGAAACCCGACTGAATTTTTCCGCCGAGCTGGGCATGGCTCCTCCTATGGTGCTGGTGTGAAGCTTGGGATGGTGAGGGCTGAGTACGCCATGGATCACAATTCTGGTACTGGTGCAGTATTCTTTAGGTTCGGTGAGAGATTTTGAGGGGAATTTTACAGGCTTCAGTAAAAAAAATTTAACCAGGTTTTTCCATCATCATTTCTATATTTACAAGATATTACGTTCAACATGCAAGTTATAGTGTGCTGTTTAAATTTGTGTTTTATGCCTTTATAGATCTTTGAACTAAATGAACAGCAGAACCGAACTGTTTCTTATTTGATTTTCTTTATGCAACAAAGGATTCATTATATTTTCTAGTGTCCAGTTTCGGAAATAGATTTAGAAGCCAAGTTGATCTGGGAAATAACTTTGAAAGAAGCTAAATTTGTCTCTTGGGAAATGATTGGTGCCATGTTGGCACCGCTTGGATAAACAACCCATAAATCCGTGGATTTATCTCTACTCGTAGTTTCTATTTGTGTGTTTCTCAAGTTCTTGGATCTCTTTTGTGCATGATCTTGGTTTCGTCATGACTGGCAAACGCCCTAAACTACGAAGGATTTGGACGCAGATCTCTACAATGCATCGCAAGATGTTCCCAAGGTGTTGATGCTGCAAGCAGGATTTGATGAGATCACCATGATGCTCCTTGAAATAGCAAGAAGAGGTAAAAAAGATGGGGCGAGGACGTGGGCCGGTCCTTCTTGCAACCACGGCTCAATAACCCCAACCCGACCCAAAATTATAGTTCGTGTCACATTCGTTTGGAGCGTGTCGTAGATCCACATAACACTCGCATATCTTGTTAAGTTGACCAATCATTGACCAACTCAGGGCGGCTGAGTGAGTTGCACCAATTGAGTCCCACAGGCCATTCATCAACCTAAACCATTGACAAACGTCATGGATGTCTTCCTAAGGACGGGCATTATCCCCTTCCTCATCTTTTCTCCACCAAGAAGAAAACTTTGGCTTTTCTTCCCTTACGTATAAATATACATAGAAACACTTTGGCTTTTTTTTTATTTCTTTCTTTTATCGCTCCAATAATTGTACTTGAAATTGTACAAGTGGCACTAAACCCGGGTTAGTGGACCACAGGTTGTCCAATCTATATCAGGGGTATTTTAGTAATTGGACTCGGGCTGCAAAAGTAGTCGGACACCGGACCGAGTCGTTGCACCATGCCCCCCGCCGACTCGGCCCGACCCGGGTCGCCTTCTCTGACCCCACGTGGTCCGCTTCCCGCTCTGCCTTACGTTGACTAACGCCGTCGGGGTACCATAACCCAAGCGAACTCGCTTCAGGAATGACATCGTAATAACGGCGTCTCCGGGTGTGTACGCGGACGGACCGTCCAAAGCACGCCACCGCGCGCACGAGCTTCCGCCATTGAAGCTTCGTCGAGCGCTTAAAACCTCCCTCCCTCCCCCCTCCTTCTCTATCCTCCCAAATCCCCGAATCCTTGCGGGATATGACTGCAAATTAAGCAAGGGATTCTCGATTCTCCTCAAAACATTCGGGTTTCTTCCCCCTCTATTTGGTTAGGAATAGTTTGGGATTTCAAGTTGGAGATTGGATCGAAGCGATTTCTTGAATGGTTTGATCGGTGTGGGTGCTGTATCTCTCGGAAACTCGGATTTTTAGGGCTTCCATCCAAGATCGGTTCGACTTTGGGATCAAACTTCAATGGTTGCATCTTTTTAAGGGAACTCCTCTCTTCCTCCGGTGCTTCCTCGTCGTCGGCGCCGCCGCCTACGCCATCGCCATCTTCGTTTGGTCGTTGATGGCTTCCATGGAGACGGCATCGACGTACTGGTGCCACCACTGCTGTCGCTTCGTCCTCATTTGGCCCTGGGACGCAGTCATCTGCCCAGACTGTGGCGGTGGCTTCCTTGACGCGCCTGGCCGCTTTCCTCTTGCCTCCGAGACCGCTACCGAGCCTCGTCGCCGCCGCGTCCCTTCCGCCGTCGACAACAGCTCCGCGGCCGTCGGCCGTCGGCGCCAGTCCTCGGAAATTAGGTTCCGCCGTAACAATCGTGCGTCCACTGGCGACCGCTCTCCCTTCAACCCCGTCATTGTTCTTCGCAGTCCTCCCGTAGGCGGACGACGCGATGCGGATTGGACCACCAACAGCAGCTTCGAGCTCTACTACGATGACGGCACCCGATCCGGTCTCCGCCCCTTGCCGGAAAGCATGTCGGAGTTCTTGATGGGCTCGGGATTGGAGAGAATACTCGACCAGCTCTCCCAGACTGAGGTTGACGGAATCGGCGGTGCGCCTGGTTTCGAGTACTCGCCGGCTTCGAAGGTCGCCATCGAGTCTATGCCCACTATCGAGATCGCCGATGGCCATATCACGACGGAGTCCCATTGTGCCGTCTGCAAGGACCCCTTCGAGCTCGGAACTGAGGTCCGTGAGATGCCCTGCAAACACATCTACCACCAGGATTGCATCCTGCCTTGGCTCTCGCTAAGAAATTCCTGCCCTCTTTGTCGCCATGAGATGCCGACGGATGTGCAAGAAATGGAGGACGACGAGCGGACTCATGTGGCTGAGAACGAGGAGGAGACGGTGGGGCTCACCATATGGAGGCTTCCAGGTGGTGGGTTCGCTGTTGGGAGGTTCACTGGTGGCAGGAGAGGCACGGAAAGAGAGCTTCCTATGGTTTACACAGAGATGGATGAAGGAATTAGGACCGCTGGCACACCGAGAAGGATATCGTGGTCCTCAAGAGGAAATAGATCCAGAGAGAGTGGAAGAATTGTTCGGGCATTCCGCAATTTCTTCTCCTTCTTCAGGCGTCTTCGATCTCCTCCTACATCTTCACTGAGGCTGACCTCCGAGTCTCGCTCTTTCTCAACCACTTCTCTTAGACACAGGAGATATCCATTCTTCAGTAGGAGCTATCGGGGACAGAGCACAAGTAGGGTATTGGAGGATGGTGATGATGATAACTGAGTAGAAAAGTTCAACTTTTTGCTCTTCAATCCAATTCCTCTGCAAAACTGTAGTTACTTGATTCTGCAAAAAGGATGCAAATGGTTGCTGGCTGGTAATTTTCTGGATATAATTCCACAGTGACTAGTGAAGATTAAAAAAAAATGTATCATCTTTTGATTTCTATATCCTTTCAGATTTCCTAATCGGTTCTGCTCTTTTGTCCACATGTAAGTGGCTTTTATTCTGTAGTCTAGCTTTCTGATATTACAAAGGTTTATGGCCTCTTGAAGTGTGGTTATTTTGGAATTAAACATTCATTATTTATGCTGTTGTTCAATCTTCAATAGAAAAGTTTGAATTATTTCCACTCATTAGTTTAATATCATGTATAAGGTGTATCTAACTTCTTTTGTTTGTGAAGTTCTTAGTTTTACAATTCATGAAGAGATTTACAAGTGCATGTTTATACATTATAGCCTTTCATTTGCCATATCATTAGCATCAGTATAGTTTTGAGCAGTATTTTATGTTCTCATGGGTGGTTGACCTGTACTAGTATAAGTCTTCATGAAGAATTTATGATTCTTTTTCTTTTTGGTTGGACTTTTTTAAAGCTATTGTTGCAATCTTTCTATCCGATTGCACAGGCAGATATCTGGTGGTTGGCTTTCCTCAATCTGTTTGTTTGTTATTTGTCTTCTCGTTGATCATTGAGGAGGGGATTTGTTGGTTCTTTTCTGTTCAAAATTCATCTCTCTCTTCCAGCTATGTTAGTGAGCATTTGTGTATGTTGACTGAAATGTAGTTGCCTGTTAACTTTAAATCAGGAATTACAATTGGATTTTTAGCTGCTTTAGAACTAGTCTTATATTTTAGAGTGATAGGCTTCTTTTTTCGTTCCGTCTATATCATTCTTAGCTGTTATGATGTATCGTTTTTCTAACGGAACCATAGAAATTGTAAAACAATTTTTTTTAAATTGGAATCCTTTTTGTGAGACTGTAAGCAGACAAGTTTTTACTTGATCTCAAAATTAAATGCTTGAGTAGTCTTCTTGTTATGGGTTGATTCCCGTTCATGATGCATGAGACAGGCTATAATATAGTTCTTCAAAGTAATTATGAAATCAGATCTACTGAACTACTAAGATGGTGATGGAATACTAAATACTTTCATACATTATGTTCTGTAGCATGCTGTCTTTATGAACAGTCTTCCATGAATTTTCAGGTAAACAAAAGCTTGATGCCAAGATATTCCTCCCTAGAATCATCACTTTGGATGATTGGCTCAGGAACTGAGAAGTTGTAGCTTTGCTCACAGTGCATTGTGAATATAATCAGTGTTGAAAAGGCTCTAGTAAGTAGGAAAATCCTTGTTAACAATGAAGCAAAACTGATTAAACAGTGATAACATGCTAATGGCATTGGGAAGGACAGCTGCAATAGTAAAAAATCACAAGCAGACACAACAAATCTCTCTCTCTCTCTCTCTCTCTCTCTCTCTCTCTCTTCACATGGTCAAGATGTAATCTTAGATGAATGCGACATATGGATTTAGTCCTTTCTGTGGCATGGTACATTGTATGATCCTTTTTTTTTAATTTGTTGTACAGGTGAACTTATATTTGAACAAGTTTGTCAGAGATTCCATGGAATGCCCATAAATACAAGGCAAGGCAAGATATGATTCTCTGTTCCACCTTTCACCAGAAGTGCCTATGTTCAGTGGACCATGTCTCAGGGGTTTCTTCATTCTTTAGTTGACTTGATACTATATATCTTATGGGTAGCTTTTGTTCAACCTGGTCAAAGTATTCAATGCATCTTTTATTACACCACCTTAGTTTTACTTGCTGATGTTGGTTTTAATTCTTTGCATGCAGTTACAACATGTAATCTTTTCTAATGCCTTGTTGTCTTGTCTCTGATGCAGTGATGATGTAATGACCCAAGCCGAACTCACAACATTTCTTCTGATCAGCAAAAATGGTTGACCCAAGCCGAAGATTAGCGATTACAGGTTACTGAGTTGAACCTAAAAGACCAACTTTTTGACTTCATAGTCTTTGTATGCATTTCTGACTCTTGCTCACTACATGGCATTGCCTTTCAGATTGTGGAATTGTAAGGATCTGATGGTTTGGCTCTCATCAAACCCATTCAAAGTCCAAACAACACTTAAGTCCATTTGACCACTGTGTAGTGTGGACATCCAACAGGGATTTAAGGAGTAGCATCATCTTTTCCCCATTTACTACGTTACATACTTGCTGAAGCTGCCATAACCATGTTGTCCCCACTTACCATAGTGCATCATTCAAAGGACACTGAGTCACTGACTGAGACATGGGGACACGTTTTAGGTGCCATCAAGGTGGGTGGCAGCTCAGCTCCAAAAGAGTTAGGTTGTTGGAGACTGAAATCTCAAAAAATGCGATCCAGCATGACTACTCGGATTGCATTGAACTTGTTCGTATCAAATGCGTTCCTCTGACCAAGTCTCTGATTGCTGCTGTGCACTGGGTTGGAGATCAATGCAGCTGGCTGCATCAGGATATTGTTTTCAACCTCTCCATGCAACCTGCTTTGTCTTCTCAAATGATTTGTTGAAGGAATCTTGCGTGGTGATCAATACTAAATATGATGGAGGCCAGCAGGAGCAGCACCGAGCGAGGCAAACGGAGCCAGAAAAGATCTGTGACAAAAGTTTGCCCTGCTTGCCATGGGCATGGGAAACTAGGTGCAGGACAAATAGACAAGAAAGGGAGGACATGGTATCTTGCTAGACAAAGCTGATCATTTGTCTCTACTGCAGCAAGCACCACAATACCAGGAAGACAAAGATGCCTATTAGCAGATATAATTTATGTTGTCTTCATCCCTTGTCTTGGCGATGTCTACAATGGCAGGTTAGTGCTACAATCTAGTAAATCTAACTTAGATAATGGA